TCGTTTCTAATAAATAGGGGTAATTTAGTAATTTTACACTGTTATTTATGAAATAATCCGTCATAGGGAACCCGAAAGGGGCGTTGTGGGGTGCTAACACCTTCCCCGCACGTAACCGACTCCCTTACCCAACTCTGGTTGTAATGGCCAAGGTTGATTTGCGAAAATCAATTGCCTTATCCCTTTTTCCAATGTTTTGAGTAAAACATTGGTGGCGACTCCAAGAACCCTTCTTTTTGCGAAAACCACTAATCCATGGAGGGTCCCGCTTGGGATTAACATGGATTGGTGAATCATTTAATAAAATTGTTAGTTCGATGAGGTCTCAGTTTGAGAATAAGTCGTTCTAACAATCCATCATTTTTCCAAACTTTAAAAAGAGTCCGACCATCGTCGCGAATGCCAGTGTCCGTTTCGGCGGGTGGCGACAATAATAATTGTTTTTATATATTCATATTGTATTTTTGACAAGTATGTTAGACCTTCACCAAACACAAGGATCTCCCCTCTTGAGCTTGGATCCGATTGAAGTGAAGAAAAGGATGAACTAGATTCAAGGAAGAGACGTTCCTAAGCTATGGATGGAAGAATCCAAGAAAAAGAAGCAAAAGATTGCTCACTTTCAAGTGTAGGAAAAGTAGGTTTTCATAGAACTAGGGTGAAGCAATTCGGTGACCTTTGAGAGAGAATAAGGCTGAATAGTTTTTCAGAAATTCTCTTAAGATTCAAAAGTGAATTACAATTGAGTGAAGGAAGCCTTATAAGGACGGACCAAGCTAGATAGTGGTGCCAATCCAAGAAAGCAAGTTAGGTGCCAAAATTTGAATTTCAAATGGTATTTGAAATTCAAATTTTGAATCACCCATGTGCCTATCCGTGAATGGTGCTCCTAACATTCATCTAAGTTTAATTTAGGTTGTATTTGAGTTGAATTTAGACACACATGTGCAGCACCAACAATGCTTAATCCATGTGATCCAAATTCAAGTCAAATGACTCCTAAATTAAATTTAGACTAAGCCTAATTGTCTTATTATAGAATTCCTCCTATATTCCTAATCTAATGGCCTAAATACAATGGCCAAACAAATACAATGGAAAGGAAATATTACAAGAATGAAAATGAGCCCAATATTGGGTATCGAAAGCCCAAAGGCCCATGAAGCCCAAAACTAGGCCCAATAAGCCTAAAGCCCAAAAATCCTAAACTAAGGTCCATAATACAAGACCAAAACAATATGAGTTCCTACACTACTAACATGCAGTAAAGAGGTGATCATTGTTCTTTTGCCTTTAATATTGGACTGAGCATATTTCTCATTTTGCATTTGTATATGATTTTTAATCCTTTCATGCAATTTGCGAACAAAATAAGCCCTTGAAGTACCTTCCTTATGTATTAGGAAGAAGTATCAAGTCTAATGGAGTCAAAGGATTAAATCCATACACAACCTCAAAAGGAGAAATATTGGTAGTCTTGTGGACTACCCTATTATAGGAGAACTCTATGTGGGGTAAATACTCATCCCAAGATTTGTGATTACCCTTCAAGACTACTCTAAGCATAGTAGATAGAGACCTATTAACTGACAATGGAGAGGTCCCACCTTCACTCACCAAGTATTTCTAGATTGGAACGGCTAAAGAGATCCCTACATTCTCGGGGCCCATAAGGCCCGTGAACAAGAAACTACAAAACCCAAAACCCTAGAGTTGAGACGGCAGATTACACTTTTGAATGTTCTGACTTTGAGGCTTGACCTAGGAAAAAACCCTAGTGCACCCCGTGGCCGGAACACACTCCATGCCAAAGTTTTTCCATTCTCCCCCTTTGCAAATTCAATATTTTACAAGTTTTTTTGCCAGAAAATTTCTCTGGCAAGACTTTTAAAGGGCAACAATACCAACTTAGAAATCTCAGTTCAGTTGCCAAAAATTGATCGAAGCAACAATAAATATATTCCCCAGAAATTTCAAAAAATTGTAGTTTGTTCATCTTAGCAAGTATGCGAGGGCTTAATAGCTTGATCATCTTTTGCTTCTTAGTTTTCGGCACATGCATTTGCAAACTTCTAATGGCTTCAATACCCTGCAAATAATTGGAAGAAAAAAATTAATCATAAAAATTCACATTTCTCACAATTAATAAATAAATAAATGTTATTAAAAAATGTTTTCTAACTAGGTAAACTTTTAACCTTGTCATTTTTCACTGCTTCACAAATATCATCCAAATCCCACAACCAACTACGATTTTTTGGATCTTCACCAAGCCATTTCTTGTGAAATATCATGCATAGATACAAAATTATCCTCAGAAAAAGTTACAAGAGCTTTATCTTTTAACCTTTCTAATCCAACAATAACTGAATTGTCATGTTCGCCATCTTTCAATAAAAATTTGAGATCACTCAGATTTACCTTTACATGCAATCTTAGAAAGAAACATGCCAAATCTAGAAAAATTTGTTGCTCTTTACGATCTAATTCATCATAACTCAATTTCATTACATCATAAACTTTGGTAAGAGGCATTTTCTCAAGCTTGTCTAACTCACTTTCCCACACTTCTTTATTTTTTCCATGAAGAAGATGTGCCAAAACTTTAAGAACTAATGGAATTCCTTTAGCATAATTCACCACCCTTTTTGATAGCACATTGTACTCCCTTTGATGATCATTGTGATTAAAAGCATTCAAATTGAACAATTCAAGTGCTTTATCAAAACTAAATTCTCTAAGGCAATATATTTCATCAGCTTTATTAGCACTAAGTACTTGCTCATCTCTAGTTGTTACAATTATTCTACTACCTGATCCGAAATTATTAAGAGGTCCCAATAATTTTTCCACATGATCTGGATCATTCACATCATCAAGAACAATAAAAACCTTCTTACGACCAATTCTTCTAATGATATCATTGGCCAACAAATTTGGTGTATCAATTTTTGCAACATCTCCTAATAATTCAGAAAAAATTTCCTTCTTCAAAGATATTATTTCGCATTTGCTTGATTGTTCTCTTTCATTGGCAAGAAAATAAGAACCTTCATAATCAAATCGTAGTTTGTGAAATATTTCTTCTGCGAGAGTTGTCTTGCCAATACCGTCCATACCCCAAATTCCAATAAAACGAGTGTCTTTTGGATCTTTGCGTATCAATGATTCTAAGTCTGCAATTTTATCTCTAATTCCAACAAGTCCCTTTGAATTAACCAGTGGTTCAACCAACTTCATCACCACAAGGTTAACAATATCTATAACTAGCGCAGCATCAGTTCTGCCATGCATAAAGAGAGAGAAAGTGTGAATAAAATCAATGTTTCTCATATTAACTCTTTCATTTGAAAATTTGATTGAGGGGGGAAGGGTTGATCAACATGCACTATGGAAAATGGCTATCATATTTTTCATCTTTTTATAATGAGGTTCATTAACAGATGGAGTGCTAAAAATTATCATTTAAAATTGATATACTATCAAATATATTATTAAATGCTGTTAGTACAAACAATTCACTATTTCTGACTTGAACATGAAATTAAGATTGAGAGTATTACTTTGCTTTTATAAAGATTGATTCAGTGTTGAAAAAGAGTTATACATTCTTATTATATATATATATATATAAATAAAAGGTACGTTCTATTTTTTTGTGATATAAAAATCATAAATTTCAAAGTTTGTATAATTCGTAGAAAACTAGAACGTACATATTAAAGTTAAACTTTGTTTCACTAATTCATTTAGTTCGTCATCATCGTGTTTGCAGTTAGGGCATATAACAAGAGAGCAGCGACAAACTGGTCCACATCTTGAGCGTTTAATCTTCATGAGTCTTTCTTTGACATAAAAATCTGTACATATATTCTAGTAATTGAATGGGCAAACAATCATGGTTGTTCCCGTTATAATCCTAGCATATATATATAGGTACGTATAGTAGCATTGGCTAATTTTTACATATACGAAAGTAATAACTAAAAAGGCATAATTTTGGTGAAAGCAATCTATCTATACTATATATGTTAAAGATCTTAATGCACATCAAAAATATAAACATTTTTTTTTGTATTGTTATGAAAGATAAGATTAATATGAAAGATAAGATTAATATGAAAGATAAGATTGAAATATTCTTACAAATATATTATTAAATGTTGTTAGTAAAATTAGTTCACTGTTTGTAATTGATAGGAATATAATAGCCAGGCCCAGAAAGTTACCATATCCAAGAGAATATTTTCTGGTTTGATGTCATAGTGGATTATTCTTTGTTGGCAATCTTCATGCAAGTATGCAATGCCTCTTGCTGTTCCAACTGCAATGTCATGAAGCTTTTCATATTTTAGGGTCTTGTTTATGTTGCCCCTGAGATTTGGATGCCACTTCCTGTAACTCACAAGTGTGATGTTTACAGCTTTGGAATGTTATTATTTGAAATCGCGGGAATGAGAAGAAACTTGGACATTAACCTTCCAGAAAGCCAGAAGTGGTTCCCAATATAGGTTTGGAAAAAATATGATGCAGGAGAATTAGAAGAAGTAATAACGGTTTGTGGAATAGAGGAGATTTATAAGGAAATGGCTGAAAGAATGGTTAAGGTTGCATTGTTGTGTGTTCAGTATAGGCCAGAATCAAGACCAATAATGAGTGATGTGGTGAAAATGTTGGAAGGTTCAGTGGAAATCTCTAAACCTTTGAACTCATTTCAGAAAATCATGGATGGGACTTTCTCTGATCATTTAGTCCAAGAATCACGCACTAATGCTAGTAAAAGTATTAATTCTAGCTCTTCTGCTACGGTAACAGAACCAGTAGTTGTACATGATTCTATGAGGAGGTATGATGAAATTGAATTGTGCTTTACCAGTGGTGATGAATGAGACATTATTTGATGCTTGTTTTCCATTACTTAAAAATGTTACGGAATATTTCTTTTCTACTGTTGACCATTTATCAGTACTTATTTTTGCCCTGAACTATCTAAAACAAGCTAACTTATTTTGTAAGTGAAGGAAAGAAGTATAGGCATGTAAGTGGCTTGAGTACGACCTCAAACAGCAACATCAGCTATAACAAAATGTGTGAATTTTTCTGAAAGCTGTCTATTCAAACTTTGCTGTCCAAACAATGGCAAGTTTAATCTGATAAATATTATTCTTCATGCAAGTATGCAATGCCTCTTGCTGTTCCAACTGCAATGTCATGAAGCTTTTCATATTTTAGGGTCTTGTTTTCATGAAACAGATACTTGTCAAGAGAGCCATTCCCCATGTATTCATAAACCAGTGCTCTCAGATCTTTCTTAAAGCAAAATCCATAGAACTGAACTAGATTGAAATGATGGATTTTTCCAATTGTACTCACTTTTGCCATTAACTGTTCCTGTATTCTCTTATCTGAGTTCGCGCGTAGAACCTTCACAGCCACAGTGGTTCCATCACTTAAATTTCCTTTATAAACTTGTCCAAAACCTCCTGAACCCAACAAGGTAGAGTAGTTATCAGTTGCAATCCTGAGCTGCTTAGCAGTATACCTGATTGGCTTTTCACTTCCCACATTGCTCGAAAATTTATCCATTATGTTAGTTAGGAATATGTCTGAGCTGCTTTCAGTGTTGGTCTCGGATCTTCTACAACGCCAAACCAAAAAAATCAACAAGGACAGGATCACAACTGTAACGTGTTATTACACTGTCAAAATTTGTGACATAAAACAAAACCAATGTAGAATTAGAAAAGAAAAAAAACGAAAATATAACGGGCTTAAAAGTTAAAACCTACTAACTGTAGAGGATATGGTAAGCCCTAATGCATTTTTCATTGGTTCGTTGATAAGAACTCAAAAATAGGTAGTGGATGTGATGTGAGACTTGTCTGCAAAATCGAATGGAAGAAGAAGGATATATCTACAAGATCTATAGTAAACATCACGTGATTGTGATCATTAATTCTATATTTTACAGTTGCCCCCTCGGTCTAAGGTTTTATTTTGAGAATGAATATTCTTAATGGCATAAGCTGGTTAGCAAACTTACAAGAGGGAAGACACAATTATAAGAACGAAATCTCTACGACAAATACTAAGTTTTAGTTTTCTGTTCTTTCGTGGTACAATCCACCAAGGATAATGCTAATCTATTTATAATATATAAATCCTAAGTTGTGAAGTAATACGCTTACATGACAATATCATATTTTTACACATTTCTTACCGGTTAACACACGGGTCAATATCTGGTTAAATATGAAAGGCCAAAGGCAAAGGAAGTTCATGAACACTTTTTTGTATGTACTAATGACATGTCATGAGTAAACAACATTTTCCGTGTTATTTATTCAAGTGAATGGCTGACAAGGAACTCCATGACTGAGAATACAAAGAGATGACAACGACTAATAGAAAGAGTTTCTTCTTTTTGTGCTTTTTATTTAACAACATTTTCTCCAAGTTTGAAATTATATACAATAGATTTATTTATTTAAAGATATGTGTTGACTTCATTTATTTAACAATATAGAATAGATTCATCAGAATCAAATTACAAAGGAAAACATTTGACAACATAATTTAAGCTAAAAAACCTTCTATCAAGTAGTATGTAGTCTTCCTTATATTATACCCTTTTGCTAGTTGTAACGAACCGCCACGGTCTTTACACTTAGTGGAATCGCACTAACTAGTTAACTAAGAGAATATTAAACTGGATAACACCTACATACAAGCATAAATATAAAGATCAAAATAATTAAGTTTCTGTATATAAAATATAGCACCAAATATGTACAGTCATCCCAAATATTCCTTAGTGCCGGTCAAGCACATACAAAAAAATGTTACCCAAAATGGTAACTCAAAACACGAGACTCAGCTCCCCGTCTCACAACGATCACATCTACTCCAAGCTATCCCTAACCTGCTCCCATACCAAGTATGATCATCGCAGTTCCACCACATGGAAACAAAAGGGTAAGCTATAATTCAAAAAAATCAATAGTACAAGTACAAAATAAAATCTATATTACACATGCATCCCAAATCCTGTCCCTAAGGACCTTTTCATCTCAATCAATCATTCATTCATCAAACATGAAGTCAAACACCACACTTCATCATATTAATAATCATGCAATAAATGCATCTCATGACAGATATCAATGCATATCAATCATCTACTGCGTCGTCACGCATACACCTAGGAGATCTCCATAATAATAGAGCTGTATAAGTGACATTACATCCTACCGAAACCACCCCAACCGTTTTCACGCCCAATGCGCCCGCTCGGTCACAGCTAAACAGGTATAATCCTCACTCGGGTTTACTTGGATGATGTCACTTACACACTTGGAAGTCCAGATCCACCGTCAGGTATAGCACAGCTGGGTACGGGCTTACCACGACCTTGGCATGCATTAACCAAGTCAATTGTGGAGTTCGCCCACCGACTATCCGCAAGGATCCACGCACCTTCCCGAGTACTTGGTTAAGGGAATAACCCTCGACCTCATACCCCGCTCCAACACTAGCTAAGGACTTAGAGGAGACTCACCCAACCCAGTGGCCTATCTGAGCACCACTCTCCCAAATCCAGTGGCCTCCCAGAGCACCAGCTGTTTGAGGTCGTACTCAAGCCACTTACATGCCTATACTTCTTTCCTTCACTTACAAAATAAGTTAGCTTGTTTCAGATAGTTCAGGGCAAAAATAAGTATTGATAAGTGGTCAACAGTAGAAAAGAAATATTCCGTAACATTTTTAAGCAATGGAAAACAAGCATCAAATAATTTGTCTCATTCATCACCACTGGTAAAGCACAATTCAATTTCATCATACCTCCTCATAGAATCATGTACAACTACTGGTTCTGTTACCGTAGCAGAAGAGCTAGAATTAATACTTTTACTAGCATTGGTGCGTGACTCTTGGACTAAATGATCAGAGAAAGTCCCATCCATGATTTTCTGAAATGAGTTCAAAGGTTTAGAGATTTCCACTGAACCTTCCAACATTTTCACCACATCACTCATTATTGGTCTTGATTCTGGCCTATACTGAACACACGACAATGCAACCTTAACCATTCTTTCAGCCATTTCCTTATAAATATCCTCTATTCCACAAACCGTTATTACTTCTTCTAATTCTCCTGCATCATATTTTTTCCAAACCCATATTGGAAACCACTTCTGGCTTTCTAGAAGGTTAATGTCCAAGTTTCTTCTCATTCCCGCGATTTCAAATAATAACATTCCAAAGCTGTAAACATCACACTTGTGAGTTACAGGAAGTGGCATCCAAATCTCAGGGGCAACATAACCAGGAGTGCCCCTACCTCCAGTCATAGTTATATGAGATATTTCCCTATTGCAAAGCTTAGCCATTCCAAAATCAGCAACTTTAGGATTGAAGTTGCTGTCCAAGAGAATATTTTCTGGTTTGGTGTCATAGTGGATTATTCTTTGTTGACAATCTTCATGCAAGTATGCAATGCCTCTTGCTGTTCCAACTGCAATGTCATGAAGCTTTTCATATTTTAGGGTCTTGTTTTCATGAAACAGATACTTGTCAAGAGAGCCATTCCCCATGTATTCATAAACTAGTGCTCTCAGATCTTTCTCAAAGCAAAATCCATAGAACTGAACTAGATTGAAATGTAATCTTTAACCAAAGATTGGAAATTAATCTATGGCTTGGACATGAAATTAAGATTGAGAGTATTAGATTGATTTAAAATTGAAAAAGAGTTATACTTTTTTATTAAATAGATAAGTATAGTAACATTGACTAATTTTTACATATACGAAAGTAATAACTAAAATGCATAATTTTGATGAAAGCAATCTATTTATACTATATGTATTAAAGATCTTAATGCTCATCAAAAGTATAAACATTTTGTTTGTATTGTTATCCATCCATAGATTAATATGAAATCCATTTATTAATATGAAAGATAAGATTGTTAAATTTTGTAATAATTATTTTAGAAGTCCTATGCATGAAGATTAAATTCTATATTGAAGCAAACACTAGTTATTAGGACAGTGTTTGGATGCTCTCCCGCTTCCGCAGCCTCTTTGACATATATGAATTAAAACATAGGCCATAAAGTTGAAAAGAAAACAAATGATGAAAGAATAAAAAAGATATCATACTAATTAATGCGAAGAATGTATGTGTGAGAACCTTTCAATGTTCCAATAGCTAGGACATAGAATGTTTTCACGAAAGTTTAAACTATGTACCTCCAAAATTAGTGACTAACTAATTTACTCTGATTTTATAGTTTTTTCATCTTTTTAAAGACTCGGGATTGTGGAACTGTGTATCCTCTTAAGTTAATAATTAACTTACTTATATATTACAAGTGAACTTTGACTAACTAATTTGTCTATCTCATTCATTTGAATAGTTAATATACATACATTATATATATATATATAGAGAGAGAGAGAGAGGGGAGGTTATAATAATATCGGTGTAACTTTTACTAAAGTATTACACTGCTTAATAACTTTATATTAAATATGAATTTTGTAAATTCAATCATTAGATTGAAAGTTCATATCTTTTAGATCATATATACAAAATTTTATATTAATCCAAGATGATTTGATACTTCATTTTTATAAAACAAAATTGACGTAACATATTTATTTCAAAATACATTAAAATATGAACATTTTGATTACTTTCAAGTTGTTGTTCAATTTTAACAAAATTTGATATACACGTATAAAGTGATATGAACTTCCAATCTAACGGTTAGATTTACAAAATTCACAATTAATATAAAGTTATTGAGTGGTGTAATACTTAGTAAAAATTACATCGGTGTCGTTTGAACTCTCCTCATATATATATATATATATATATATATATAAATTATTATGATAATAATCATGATTGAAACGATATCATATAGATAAGTTAATACTCCTAGAGATAATTGTCGATCCGAATTATTAGCGATAAAAGATAAGAGGATAGGCAAGGGAGAATAGTAATATAATAGGAAAGATCAGTAGGTCTTAACTTTATACTTGAATACTATATGGTGATAGGATCTTCCTTTTGTCGACAAGTACAGGTCTAGTGACAAGGAATTGTAGTAATATACATGGGGTTCTAGATTTGTACTTCAATGCAACTAAAAATAAAATAATGTTATGTAATCATGCTTAAAAAATATACAATTGACAGAAAATAAGGAAGATTTCTAGGGTGAAAAAGGGTTTTGTACCGAAATTTTGATGGACCATCAATTCCTGAAAAATCAGCAGATTTTGTCATAGCATTTCTCCACATCTGCACCTTGTTCTTATATTTTATTCCATGCTTAGCAAATGCTTCTTTGTGTCTTTCAGACGATTGATGTCGAACATGTGTGGGTTCTACATCGTAGAAAATAGGGATCACAATCTTTCCATATTTTTCTTTGCATTCAAGTATTGTCACGAGTTCTTCTAAACACCGACGTGAAGAAGCATAGCCTTGCGAAAATATGATCAAAGAAATAAATGATCCTTCAATTGCTCCAACAAGTGATGGCCATATTTCTTTTCCCTTCTCAAGTTTGTCATCCACAAATGCATATATTTTCTTTCTATCAAAAGCCTCAATCAAATGGCTAAGGAAACCGTGGCGAACATCCTCGCCCTGGAAGCTAACAAAAACATCGTACTTTATTTGAGGAGCGTTAACGTTGTTGTCTGACATGGGTTTTTCTTTTCTTTACACCCTATTTTGGAATTAACCAAGAGACAAAGAAAAATAATATGTTCAATTTCCCTAACAAATAAGAGACCAACTACAGTGTTGGAGTATTGAAACGAGCGTGGTTCATCGTTCTTAATTGAGAAAAAAAAAAAAAAAAAAAAAAAAGTTAGAAAACAAGTGAAAACTGAAATAACTACTCAACAAGAGTACAACCAAAAATTATCACCTCTCTAGGTTTACAAACTCAGCTACACAACGTATTAGACTTTTCAAGTATTCTTCGAGTTAAAGTTTCTCCAAGCTTAACAACACAAGGTTGAAGGGGTGTACATGATGAGAAATACAATACCAGCTTCTTTCTTTTCTTTGTCCAAAACTGAATATATGTAATTGATGGTCTTTGATCATGAATGTTATATAGCTAAGTGTGATCTTTGTCCAAAAAGTCAACCCTTGCTCATGTTTGTTGGAGCCTTGTAGTTTAAGAAGCAATTTCATTGAAAGTACAACAAATTTATAATAATTAATGATGGAAAAAACTAATTGTTTTTACCTACTTGTTCACACACGCCAACGTGGCATCAACGCAGTTTGATTTGGTCTCTTAAGAAAGATAAGCGAAAGGACCGAACTCCAATTAATAAGTGAACCTACTAGCTATTGCTATCGCAATATACAAAGACATACACGTATTTTCAACAGATTCAACATGCATATATTTGTTTTTCTGGCTGCATGTTGGTCATTAAATATAATTACTTCTTCACGTCCCCTACTAGAGCATGCGTAGAAAGGCATATTTTGATGACTTAACAAGAAAAAATTGGAAGTTGGAACGGTTGAATAGATGAGTTTGAATGCCCAAATAATTCTTCTGCTCGGTTTTTAATTCTATATACCGGACCATGTCAATCAAAATAAGATGAACAACCTTAAAAGTCAGATTTTGTGAATGAAAAACTTTATATGATGTGGCACTAAGAGTAAAATATAGCTAAATGCTTTTATTGTCTCTATTTTCCCATATTTCTTCTGAGTAGAGGAGAGAATGAGCTGGGAAGATAAATATAAAAGTAAAACTTGTTTATATTTTTTTATTATTATTTATTCATCTTATCAAGCGAAATAAAGTAAGAAAATTCCACGGTACCCACTATAATAGTTAGGTACTGGTACAACTGTTTAATTTTTTATATTATAATTATTTATTTTATTTTTATCTTAATTTAATATTTTTAATAATTTATCTTTATAAATTTTTCTATATTTTTATATTATTTTTATATTTTTTAAATTTTATCTTAATATAACATCTATTATAATTAAATAGTTTAATATTAATATTTTGTTAAAATGTTTTAGTTTTTCTTTGGTGTTAATTTTTTGAATTTATAATATAAATTAGCTTTTCAGTTGTATTATTTATTATTTTTATTTCTTATTTAAAATTTTTATAATGTTATTATACTTTATGTTTTAAATTTTTAATTGTATCACATATAAATAAAATTTTTTATAAAAATTTACCTTTTAATGATTTTTTTTTAATTATTCTTTTTTATATATTCATCTTCTACAAATTTTTAATCTAAAATTTATATTATTTTGAATTTATTTCTTTTTAATTTATTTATTTACATAATTTAAAGTACTAAAATCTTTCAATTATCATGAGTACCATAGCAGTTCCCAATAAAGTATATATGTTCTTGCCGGGTGAAAATGTGATCCGTTGCAGTAGGTGGTGTGAGTAAATAATTCTATAAAAAATGATGCATGTATAGATAAAAATATTCATGTGACATCTCTCACTCTATTTTATTTTTATATTATCGTTTTTTTCTCATCTATTTTTTCTCTTTATTGAAAACTGAACATCAAAAATAGAATTGTATGACTAATTACAAATATAACAGACTAATGTTATAAAATTAATTTACAACATTATACATACAAAAGGAGGCAAAAGTTGTTCTAGTATATTTGAATTATGAACTTATGGATTTTATACACATTAATGATGTTACAAAAAATGTTTAAATATTAAATAACTAATTAACTTCTTATTGAATAAAACAAACAATAAGTTAATTAAGATTAAACTAACAAGTAAATATTATTTATTCATAATTTACTTTTTCCGAATATTAATAACATTTAACCAAACTTATAAGTAAAACAAAAAATTATATAAAATTTAAAATATTTAATTATGACAGTAAAAAGAATTCAATTATCAACATTATTCGGTTATCAACTAGTACTAAGTGTCCACCAAACATTATTCTAACTAAATACTAATAATAGTGGTCTATATCATTTAACTAAATTATTTAAAACTAGTTTTAATTTAAAATATGAAATAAATTATGTTGGAAGAAATATTTTTTTATATAAACAAAGGTGGCATTCTTTATCAAAAGTGTGTATTCTTTAGTTAAAGGGTGTTTCTCTTTATCAAAAATCAAAAGTAAGATTTGAATCTTCAACGATAGTCATAAGATGCATCTATTTAAAGGTTAAAACTCTTCATCAAAAGGTACAAGATGATCCATAAATAGATCTGATCTGCATGCAAAAGGGGAAGTAGAATGAGAACACTGGTTGAACAGTGAGAATGTGCACAGCTCTATACTATAATAGGATTAGAAATACTACAGAACCGATTACTTAAGTTCGATACGTGTTTAAATATAATTCTTCTTCATTACCAAATATTTATATGATGTTTCAGGTTCATTTACTATATTTTTTATCACTGGTAAATATTATACAAAGTATTTTTAACTCCAAATAGTTTATGGGCAAAAGGAAAAGATATTACCTTAAAACATGACACAGGGTACATCTGAATCCAATAAGTGGAAAGCAAAATATTTTACAACTTATCTAGCCCATGGAAGACTTCCAGCGAATAGGATATTTCTTATTTCCTCCATCACACATTACTAGAGGCTAATTCAATCTCATACTTCATCGTATCAGGAGAAGCACATACAATGTTGGAGTTTGTAACCATGGCAGAAGTACCAGACAGAATACTTGTTGTATAGGTCTGTGACACTCGAACTGGATGAGCAACAACAACCCCACCCATCAAGTGCTGAAAAGGGTTCAAAGGTTCTGGAATTTCCACTGAACCTTCTAGCATTTTCACCACGACACTCATTATGGGCCTTAATTCTTGCCTATATTGAACACACCACAAAGCTACCTTTGTCATTCTTTCAGCAATGTCCTTACTTTTCTCTTCTATCCCACATGCTATTACCAACTCTTCAAATTCTCTGGAATCAAATATTTTCCAAACCCTCATTGGAAACCACTCCTGGCTTTCAGCATGTTTTATATCAAGGTTTCTTCTCCTTCCTATGATTTCAAATAACAACACTCCAAAACTATAAACATCACACTTGTGAGTCACAGGAAAATTAGGTATCCAAAGTTCAGGTGCAGCATAACCAGGAGTCCCTCTATACCTTGTCATGGTTAGATGTGTATTATCCCTATTACAAAGCTTGGCTAAACCAAAATCAGCAACTTTAGGATTGAAGTTTCTGTCCAAAAGAATATTTTCTGGCTTTATGTCATAATGGATTATTCTTTGTTGGCACTCTTCATGCAAATAAGCAATGCCTCTTGCTGTCCCAACTGCAATTTCATGAAGCTCTTCATATCCTAAGGTCTTCTTTTCTTGAAACAAATACCTATCAAGAGAGCCATTTCCCATGTACTCATAAACCAGTGCTATCAAGTTTCTTTCGAAGCAAAATCCATAAAGCCTAACAAGATTGAAATGATGAATTCTTCCAATTGTACCCACTTCTGCCATAAACTGCTCCTCAATTTTCTTGTCTGAACTCCCACGTAGAACCTTCACAGCGACCATAGTCCCATTACCAAAAACTCCCTTATAAACTGCTCCAAAACCTCCTGAACCCAGCAAGTTAGAGTAGTTGTCAGTTGCAATCCTTAGTTGTTGATCAGTGAACCTGATTCGTTTCTCACTTTCCATGTCATTCAGAAATTTATCCACAGTGATTGTCAGAAATTGTGAATTTGGACTCACTGATTTACAAAGAATCTGATTTCTTTTTTGGTACACATAAATCAAAAAGACTACCTTGACCACTATGGAGAGCAAAACTGCAAAATAATGTTGAATTAGAAATCTTGTCAACAAATGAAAACCCAACAAAGTATAGAATAAAACTAAACCAAAAAGATATCACAGGTTTAAATTATTCTTACCCCAAAAGATTACAATCTCAATTTCAATGTGATTCCATATTTGAGAGTCATCATCAGGTGTCATTGACAATATAATAGAGATAAGAATTCAGTATAATAAAATGATGGTGGGAAATAGTATGAGGAGACATACTATCTGAATTTATATGAGAAATCCCATGTTTTTATCTAATAATCGTATCAACGTCCAAAATTTCAAATCAAGGAATACTACGTAGTACGTACAGTCCTAAGGAAATAATTTGACACCATATGGATGTACTTGACTGAATAAGTTATTATAACTGATTTAAAAGACGGCTTGAAACAAACTTTCCTTTCCAAACAAAATCTCTGGAGACAAATACTAAGTTTACTAATTCCATTTTTCTAATACCATTCTCCTGGGCTGGCTTCTCTTCATATTTTAAATATACTTTTTGTGGGCAAATACATGTTTTATAATTTAATGGAATTACTCATACTTATATAAATAGTAGATGACTTTAAACTATATTATATTATATTATATTATATTATATTATATTATATTATATTATATTATATTATATTATATTATATTATATTATATTATATTATATTATATTATATTATATTATATTATATTATATTATATTATATTATATTAATTTGATGTATTTATGTTGGTGAGACATTCAAAATTTCAAACATACATAAATTTGTTAAATATATTAGTACATACCAATTTAGTTTTATTTAAATTTTTTTAGTTTTTTTTCTTTGGTTATTTTATAATGATGAAAAATATTATTTATAGATTATTACTCCCTCCATTCTTGTTAGATTTATGAGATTTTTCTTTATTTAAATTTTGAATTTTAAATAAATTTTAGATAGAATATTTGTTATTGTTATACTTTGATCTTTTATATTTTGTTTTTAGCTATTCAATGTAATCTGAATAGATAGAGTTGTTAGTAGATGAGATTTGTTAGAAATTTTAAAAATGATTGTATGTCTATACATATACATCCACTTCTATGAACTTTTATAATAATTTTAATGATAATTTTTCATCTTCAATTTTAATTTCAATATTTTTACAAGATCCAATTTTTCTACATTTTTCACAAAATATTTTCAACGGTGGTATCAAAGCTTGCTTCGTATGAGATATGAGGAAAAATTTTATTGAGCACTAAATATAGTGAGGTTGAGTACAAACACTAAATTGGGTAATTTTTTGTTCAAGTAATTGCAGTACAAAGATGTTTACTTTTACCAATTCACCTGCAATTCCAATATCTAATGATGAAAATTATCATATTTGGACCATCAAGATGAAATTCGTTTTAAGATCTTAAGATTTATGGAAAGTTATAATTTGTCAAGAGTTGATCCACCACCATTGAAAGAAAATCCAACCATTGCACAAATCAAAGCTTATGAGGAGGAGAAATGGAAGAAAGATAAAGCCATCTTGTCTGCATGCAGTACTTGTAGATCATATTTTTACTAAAATCATGGACTTGGAAACATGTAAACAAGTGTGGGACAATGGATATTGTGAACTAAATGCGACTTTTTAGTGAAACATCATTTACAGATCAGAAGGTTATCGAAAAACTCATGGTTTTGATGCTTGGAAGATTTGAAGCCAAAATTTCTACAATTGAAGAGTATTATAATTTGCAAACTCTCACAATTACTGAATTAAACCAACAATTTTCACGCGCAAGAGCAAAGAGTCTCAACTAGAAGTGATGAAGTTGTTGAAGGTGCCTTTCGAGTAAAGCACAATGAAAGGAATTTTAGAAAGTCACGAACTTTCAATAATAACAAAGAAAAAGTTGAAGGTTATTCAAGAAAAGGAAATTTTTTGACTTGTTCTCATTGTCAAAGAACTAACCATGCTAAAAGAGATTGTTGGTTTAAAAATAAACCTCTTTTTCACCATAATTTTTACAATAAAAATGATTACGATAAAAAGCATTGTATATTAAAGAAAAATCAGTCTAAACAACAACTAGAAAATAAGTAATTATGATTGAAGAAAAAATGATGATGAAGATAAGTATTTATTTATGACATCTCAAAAATTCAATTCACATAAATTTAATATTTGACTCATTGACAATTGAACTAGTCAATTGAATCGAAAGTTAAGATGGGAAATGGTGAAATTGTGTAAGTCAATGGATAAGGAACAATTTCTATATTAATCAAGAAAGATATGATAATTGCCAAACATATTTTTTACATTCTAGAATTGGATCAAAATCTTCTTAGTGTTTCACAAATGCTAAAGAATGGATATGTAGTCTATTTCAAAGAGAATTATTATTTTATCATGAATGAACATGGTCTAGAGATTGCAAAAATTGAGATGATTAAAAATAGTTTTTATTTGAAATTTGATTTAGTTGAAGATCATGATTTTATTACTAAAATTGATGAAAGTAATGTTTTACATGAAAGATTTGGTCACAATTTTATGCAAGATGTATTTGATACGAAAAATCCTAGCAAATGGTATTTAAAGACATGAGGAGTTAAATTGAATGACTATCAAAATGATTTAGATTAAGAAATTGATGTACAACAACTTATTGACATACCCTTCAAAAATCAAGTTTTGAAGCTCATGAAACTAAAATTTGTGATATTTATCACAAATGTCAAGGAAGAGTATTAGATTTATAAGATTTTCCTTCATTTAAATTTTGAATTTATTATATATCTAAACATAGGCATCCTCTTATACGAATTTTTATGGCAATTGTAATAATAATTTTTCATCTTTAATTTTAATTTCAATTTGTTTGCAAGATCCAATTTTTCTATATTTTTCACAAAATATTTCCAACAGTTCTCTATTATAAACGAAAAAAACTAATTTTATGCATATAAAGAAAATTAGTTATTTGTATTAAATTTTATTAATTCTATAACTTTATTTTTAAATTATCCTTGTTATTAATGTTAAAAAAAAAAAAAAAAAAAAGTAGTACGTCATGCACTAAAAGTAGAAATGAAGTAAAAATAGTTGAAATGTACTTATATTTAAGAGTAAGAAAAAATCTGTTATATTTTACCTATAATTAAGAACAGAAGGAGTTTGAATTATATAATAAAACAAAATATTTCAATATAATCATGTGCAATCTTATGAAATATTCACTCTGTGTCGATAGTAATATAATCCACTTCGCAAAATCCTCGATTAATATATGTGATCACGAAAACGTTGATGATGGGTTTTCTAGGCTTATACCATAAATTGATTAAAAATTATGCTTCTGTTGTTATGCCTTTGACTAATCTTTTGAGGTGGAACTTTTTCCATTGGTCTAAGGAAGCTCAATGTGCTTTTGAGGGCTTTGAAAATGAAACAGATTATGACTCGTACACCTCTTTGGTTTTGCTAAATTTTATAGCAAAATGGACTTATGATTGGAGTTACTTTTTCCCCATCAAAATTTCCTATTGATTTTTCCATGAGAATAAGAATTGGAACTAATAAACTATAATGAGAATTTTATTTTAACTTTATACTTCAGTCTAATTGGAAATAAAATAAATTGGATAACAGTTTCAAAGTTTGATTCCTATGTTATACATGGAAAGAGAACATTCATTTACAGAGCAGATATAGTATGAGATGGCAAAGAACTTGGCACGTTTGTACGGAAAAAAACAAACAATTTGCAGAGAAGAAGCATTTCTATAAGTTTAGATACTGTAAAAAAAAGTTTGCTGGCGTATAGGTGAGGTATAGTCTCTCTATATATATATATTTGGGGCCAATAATCACTTCTTTGTTTCACTTATTAAATAAAGCTGTTAAATCCGATTATTTAGAGGCACATAGCAAGCAAAGAACATTATGGTAAAATAAAAAACAAATAAGCACACAGATAAATTGGATTCACTGGAATGAAACTAGCAGAAAGGAAAATATTTTACATGTTATATGGAAATATTCCATCAAGTAGCATATGTCCACCATCACCCCCTGGTTGTAGGCTAATTCAATGTCATATTCCTCATGGTAGGAGTAGCATGTATAATGCTAGTGTCAGTTACCACAACAGAAGAACCACTAGTATCTGTAGTATAGGTCAGTGGCACTTGGACTGGATGAGAAGTGAAATTCCCATCCATAAATTGCTGAAATGGGTTCAAAGGTTTTGGAATTTCCACTGAACCTTCCAACATTTTCACAACATCACTCATTATAGGCCTTGAATCTGGCCTATACTGAACACAAGATAGAGCCACATTGACTATTCTCTCTGTAATCTCCTTATTTTTCTCTTCTACCCCACATGCTATTAACAACTCCTCAAATTCTCCAGCATCAAATCTTTTCCAAACCCACATTGGAAACCACTCCTGGCTTTCAACAAGTTCAATGTCAAGGTTTCTTCTCCTGCCAATGATTTCAAATAACAACATTCCAAAACTATAAACATCACACTTGTGAGTCGCAGGAAAATTAGGCATCCAAAGTTCAGGTGCAGCATAACCAGGAGTCCCCCTACCCGTAGTCATGGTTAGATGAGTATTTTCCCTGTTGCAAAGTTTGGCTAAACCAAAATCAGCAACTTTAGGATTGAAATCCCTGTCCAAGAGAATATTTCCTGGTTTTATGTCATAGTGGATTATTTTTTGTTGGCACTCTTCATGCAAATAAGCAATGCCTTTGGCTGTCCCAACTGCGATCTCATGAAGCTTTTCATATCCTAAGGTCTTTTTTTGGAACAAATACCTATCAAGAGAGCCATTTTCCATGTACTCATATACTAGTCCAATCATGTTTCTTTCAAAGCAAAATCCATAGAGCCTAACAAGATTGAAATGATGAGTTTTGCCAATTGTCCCCACTTCTGCCATAAACTGCTCCTCAATTTTATTGTCAGAACGCCCATGTAGAACCTTCACGGCTACAATTGTTCCATCACTAAAAATTCCCTTATAGACTGATCCAAAACCTCCTGACCCCAACAAGTAAGAGTAGTTATCAGTTGCAATCCTTAGGTGCTGATTGGTAAACCTGATTGGCTTCTCCTTTTCTATGTCATTCAGAAATTTATTCATAGTGAGTGTCATAAATTGTGAGTCTGGAGTAAGAATTCCTGGGGGGCACTTGGGCTGTAGCCATATTAAAATACAAACTATCACAAAAAGGATACCTGCAATATGTTAGAACTATTCAGTCGAACTCAAATCTTGATCACTAAACAATCAAAAAGAAAATAAACCAAAGAAGAAATGAATTCAAGCGAAAAGATTTCATGGTCATTCAGGCATTAACCAGATAAATACTTATCTCCACAAGAGTAACAAGTGCAATGTGTTAGCATTCACAGAATAAAATTCTTGTGACTAAAACTAAGCAAAAAACAGCTCAGAACAAAATACAGGAAAACAAGATATCACTAGTTAAAATCCTACCAAGGACAATGATAAGAATGGTTGACATCAAACAGGAGATAAGAATTGGAAGCACTAAAGTGATAGTGTAGAACAAATTGGAAGAAGTGGCAAAAGTGATCCAATTTATTTGCAAAATCTCTTGTCATTACTCATTGTCCCTCTAGTTGCATAAAATTTACCTTTTATTCATTTATATTTACAATTACAAATTATTTGTTGTACTCTTTATAAAAACACTTTTCCTTGTTGGTTTACGCTGTAAAAAAAATTATAAAAAAAATAGCACAATGAATAATGTTGTGCTGATATTTTACTTTATGTTTTCGTCATTATATTTGCACTAATTTTACATTTTAATTGTCTTTATATTTACTAACTTTTATCTTATAATATCAATGGTTAGAACCACTTGTTTCAGTTCCTGTATAAATGTTTTTTTATATTTTATATTTATCAACACTTTTCTCCTTTCTTCTTCCTACTCTTTCTCTTCTTCCTTTGTCTTTTTTTTTTTTTTCATTTTTCCTTGTTAATACGTATTCTTCTTTTTCTTTTTATTCAAGTATTTTTTAAATGTAGGGGCTAAAAGAATTTATATATATAAATATAAGAACTAAAATGTAAAAATACACAAGTACAAGAGTTAAATTATAACATCGTGCTTATGTCAGCAATACCTCAGTGTCATATCATCCACTATTAATGGCGTTAATTTGTTTAACAGTAGGGACAAAAGAACTAGAAGTGCATGTACAAGGACTAAATGGTAATTAAACCTTCAAGAAAAATAATCATATATGAATCGTAATCTTTATTTTTTAAACAAGAAACAGCGTGGCCGTTCCACCATTCAGGTGTGACATGATGCGGATCTAATGAATTACTTTGATGCCATGGATATATAGTTGATTGAATAAGTTAGCTGGCTATATTCCAAGAGTGCATGAAATAAACAAATGAACAAAATCTAACGACAAATACTAGGTTTTCAATTTCTGATTTCTAAATACAACCCTACTGGTTTGTCGACACTTGTTACATTAGCAAATGTAAAATGCATGTGTAGTTCACGGAATCTTCTGGCGTAATTAATAAGATCATATTCACGAGTAAGCAGAATTTAACATTCTATATAGCTGGCAAGGAACTAGGTGAGCATCAAACAGCGAGATGAGAACCTTTCTACAAAGTCATTTTCTCGAGAATGAAATATCTTTGAATTTCTGTTTTCTAACGAGGAAAGGAATGGAGTGGATTGAAATAAAATAGAACAAAGTTACTATGTTATTCGAATATTTTACGATGGCATAGGTGGCCAATCTCTTGCCCTTAAACTAAAGATAAAAAGGGAGGATGTTTAAAAGCACTGGGGACCCATCCTTTTTTACTAGATGTAGTAAGTGACTGTAATTAGGAACGAATTGGTGTAGGATACCATGTTGCACCACTTTCATGCCCACACCACACGTTGAACCATCCAAGATTTTCCTCCTCATTCTTTTTCTTCTTTTGTTACACCTGATTTTATAAGAATGTGGTGTATTCGTGCCACAACCCTATAAATGATGACCAAAGAAATGGTTGTTGATTTCCTACCCGTGAGTCCGATGAAAAATTTGGCCATAATTCGGTATTGATATTATAAAAGGAAAAATAAAATAAAATATAAAAAAAGGAGAAAAAAAGGGAGAAAAAACAATTTTATTTTTCTATGAATCACGTACTAGAATGTCGGATCTAATATCGAAATTCCGCATATAATATTAAAACAATTACTGTAGCACGTAGGCATGTGTGATTCCCAGTCCTAGTTATTCACTTGTTTCCTTAGATGGCGTAGTCTGACTAGATTAAAAATTCAAAATAAGCATTTATTGTTTCTCATAGATATTGATTTATCTTGGCCACACAAGTATTATTTTCACAGTAATACGAACACAATGATAGAACATGTGACAAGAAAAATAATAAACCATACAAATGTTACCATACTCCATATTATCACAACATTAAGGAAAATATGTACAAACTGCAGGGTTCCCTAGCTTATACACCTGTTTGCAGTGGCACAAACCAGTACAACCAATTATGACCATGTCAGCTGACTCGTTCAAAAGCATAATAAAACAGAAGTAGACCTTCATTACATACAATAGACCTAATTACGTTACTATAAACAGCATATTTTTTTTCTATCCTTTGTCATGGTTCAAATTACATAATTTGAACAAAGCAACAGATGGGGAAACCAAGTGAGCTACTACCCTAATATATTACCTAGTTGTTATCAGACACTAACAATCTATTCAGGAAGAATAATTCATTGTGCATACTGAAGGGCAAAGTCTCACACAACCTCAAAAACTAAACATGGTATTGTGTCACTCATTGAAAAGTTCTCAAGCCAGAACCAACCATAAAATAAAATGCATTGTAGAAACGACTTAATACACAAGCGTTCTGACCAGAGCAATACTTGTCAAGAGTTATAAGTGACTAACACAAACCTTTTCCGCCTTAAAATGATTTCACAATTTTAGCATTCCCCTCACTACAGCATGCCGTTTATTAACTGGATTTAGATGACAGAACTTGCCAAGGATAGTTCATGAAGCTCACTTAGCATCCATTCCTCCCCAGTTTGACCACCCAGTACAATAGCTCTTGTCCCTCCAACGACACATGTACTATGTCCCCAAGCAAATCTTGGAGGGCGCCCAGGTACATTTAGGATTCTCCATGTAGGCTTCTCTTCGGTTGGATCTAGTATGTAAAGTTGGGAGGCAGAATGAAGGCCTGCAACAGACCCACCAAATATCAGAATTCTCCCACCTGGAAGGCTCACAGCCACATGATCAAGTCTAGGAGGAGGAGCTATGCCTCCAGGATTCCCAGCACCGGGCATTCCACTCCCTGTTACACATCTCCAACATGGCTCCTCCTCACTTAAATCCATCGTGAATACATCACTAGAGCGAAATCGAAGAGGCCCACTCTTGGCCAGACCCCCAAACATCAGTATTTTCCTACCACCATAAACGGAAAGTGTGTGACCCAGACGCGAAGGTGGAGTCCATGACACTGGTATCTCTCTCCAGACAGGTTTCTCCATTGACAGATCAAGGAGGAAAGTATCACTCAAGAGTACTCCAGAATCAGCACAGCCACCAGAAACTATCAACTTAGTACCATCAAGAGTGCAGGAGCTATGCCAGGATCGGGGAAGTGGAGGTGCCAATCCAGAAATTTCACGCCAAGTTGGAGGCTTTGCATCCAGGTCCAGAACAAACACATCATTGAGCAAGCCCTGTCTTCCACAGCCTCCAAATACAACCAAACGAGAACCATTAACACAAGAAAGTGTGTGGCCCCACCGACCAGGGGGAGGAGAACTTACCTGGACATGTTGCCACTCAGGATTGCTAGAATTGAGATCCAATACAAAGGTATCATTCATTGGTTGCATGTTAACCCCTTCACCACCAAATAGGACAACTCTATTACCAACTGCACAAGCACTAAAATTACAGCGTGAAGGTTCAACAGCACCTCCAACCGTCAGTTTCCTCCATGCCGCTGCTTCAAGAGTGGTCAGTTCCCTAGCCAGCCGACCCCATCCAAGTCTCCTTGCACCAGGCACAGTCTCTAAAACACGTGTAGTCTCACTGCCCCATGCATTTTGGCACACCATTCTCCAAAGGTCTTCATTCTTTGTTATCTCGTACAATCGCCTAGAAACAGAACCAACTGATGCAATATCTCTTGGAGTTAAGCGAGCAAGTATCTTGAGAGACAATACCTCGTCACTCAATTGCAATATCCCACAAACTCCACGAGTAACATTGCGGTCCCCCACTGGAAGAGGATTCAACGAGGAAAGCACAGAATGGAACCGGTCTGATGATTTAGTAGATTCCTTAATTGTAGAACCTGGAAGGGGACCAAGATCAATGTTTGCCTCTGTGAAGAACTGGATTCCAATGACATGAGTTATCTCATCATCTCCATATATAGGCGTCAGCCGCAATCTGTTCATAAGTGGAGATCCATCTTTCCTAAAGTTCAGCAACTCACCTTGGAATTCAACACCTTCATCAAGGCATCTTCTAATTTCTGAAACAACAGTTGAGTCCACCAATGGATGCCTTCTCTTAGCAAATGGACCTCGACACTGTAAGAAACGGCTGCAAAATATTTCAAATTATTAGAACAAAGCCACATTGAATTAGAAAAACTTAGCAGTATAGACTTAAGCAAGAAAGACATGTCTTAAAGAGCCAGCATGTATTGCTTATTTGCTTATATAAAATGCTGTTTTGCCTTTTTTTTTAATTTATCTCCCTAGTGCAGTGCACAGGTTACTCATTCTACTTCCTGAAGAAAATTGCTTCAAAATTATTACAACACAGGTTATAAACTAAGTCTGTCTACAGGAGCTACCAATGCACCCGAGTCCCAATGAGCTACAAGCCAAGAGTAGTAGAGTTCATAACTTAACACCCCAACTTAGCCATTTTTGGCATGTCTATGCAAACACAAAACATACAACACTTGCAGAAGGAATAAGAGAGAAAATGAATCTCCAAGAGAAAAAATACTGTCAAGAAACTGCATCCATTTCTTAGCTTTGAATTTTGAGATTCACCTAAATCACAAAGCATAAGACAAGATCAACCAAACAAATATAATATCCACGTCCTCATCTTAATACAAAGTACAAACATCAAGACAAAAAAGTAAAATAAAATTCACCATTATGAACACTTTCTAAATCTGATATTTACATTTCACACCATCACACATACATTACATTTCTGAATCTTATTAAAATTCTAATATGAATTCTGTTACAATTATAAAGCCTTTCCCCCAAAATTGCTGCATCACAAGAAATTCTGAATGAAATAGCAAAATCACCCCTTTAGCAATTTATCATAATTAGCATTATTTTATACCACAAAGTTAATTTTGCATAGTTGGTCCAGAGTCCAGACTAGTAACCCATTCATATAAAACAATTTCTATTTCAAAACTCCAGCATCAAAGCACCAAATTTTAAGTGCTTTATTATTAATTGTTAAGCCTATCAACTGCCCTAGATTCTCTAAAAGTTGACCAGTCATATCTTAAATTTAATAAAGACACATACATCCTACATAACCTCAATGTATATAACAAAGCTCTCTGAACAATAAAATTCCCATTTCACTAGAAACTACTGAGAAGTGGCTGCCAACCACATCATCAAATGTCCCAAACAAAAAAGAAAGAAAATATTAAAGAATGGTAAAAACATCACTAGAATGACAACGAATGTGATGATTATTCAATTTATTCTCACAAATCATACTAAAACATGTAAACAGTAATAAGACAGTTATAACACTCAACATACATGACAAATCTTTCATTTATGTCCAAAAACATTAAAAACAATATCTGACAGATAACAGTACTGGATAGAAAGAGAAGCAATTCATAAAGATGTACACTCCATAGAACTACAAAAAAAATTGCGCA